ATTTATTCAATATGAGATTTATTCCTTTCATGTATCTACAAGATGGTGACTCGTTAAAAACTATCAATTTTGAAATTCATATGCTTGTTTGAGTCTTAGTCGGGTTGAATTATTTGTACGAGTTTAATAGACTTTAGTACCATATTAAGATTGAGAAAAGCCGGACGGCCAGGGCTTCGATACAGGGATTGGTGACCGACCCCTCACTGTGTGGGGTGACCCGCGTGAATAAAATATTTCCAAAATGTGTGGGCCCTCCCCCCTATGTGAGTGATCGATCCTGAAGCCCTGTCACGAGGCCCTGTTGCTGTAGTGCAGTTCATTAAGATTTGGTATTTATTCCTTACATACTGCACCATTGGTTTGGATTTGATATATGAATCCTCCCAACAGTTCGACTCCCAACTCTCATTGATTTAACCTTTATTTATTTCTTGCAAGCTGTCCTTAACAAATTGATGATTTGCATTCAATTGGTCAACCTATATATTACTGTCATCGGTCTACTTATATATTACTCCTAAATTAATTGCAAGAAATATCAAGCATGGGAATCTACTTGGCAATTTCAGGTTAGTACAAGATTGATGATGAGTCATATTGGGCTTTTGCGTTGTCAAACAATCTTGGGTAATGATGTACATTAGTTGGACTTTAATAATTGAAGAATCTAAAGGCTTTAATATTTCACATCAACATTGATCCACTGATCCGGTCCAAGTAAAAAAGTATCATTTAAAGCGTAACACTTTTGTTAGTGTTGCTCAATGATCTTTTAAATGTGTGGAGAGATGGTGGCCCTTCGATCAATGGTTGTATGCCCTCCTTTTGGAAAGGGGGAATCCTAGCTAATTCTCACCTTACTCTTTCATTTTCTCTTTTGCTCAACTAGGGGCGGATGTAGGGATATTGGATTCGAACTGTAGATCCGTCCAGTCCACAACCAATTTCATTTTGAATGTGCAAAAAAAAAAAAAATTATGAGAATTTTTATTTTTGACATATTAGCCCGACTTGAAATTTTTTTTAGTATGATCCTGAATTATTCGCTCAACTCTCGATTTCTCACAGCTGCTCTTGATTTGTGCAATTTCTTTTTATATTTCCTTCATTCTTTGTGAATGCTACTCGTCTCTTTCGTGATTTCAAGGGTTGATCTTCTTTGTGTTGGGAAAGATTTTAAGCAGTGAAGTTGACGGTTGAGTGAAATATGGGCAAAATTGAGCTCTAATTATTGTGGATTCACTATTGATGTCGAACGAACCTTGTCGAGAGATTTTCGGACTATTTGATTGCGAAATCTGTGGTCGAAACTTTAAATATTGTGGGTATATAATCATAAATGCATTCAAAAAGCAAGTGCCAACTATTACTTGGCTAACTTGTGCACATGTTGGGTGTTTACTATAATTAATGGTCACATGCATGCCGAGTTATTTGAAACTCTACAATGGAATTAATTTGCTCATCTATTCTAAGTAATTAGTGAGGGGGAAACGGGACTCACGTTGGACTGTCACACGTCCAACTAAAAAATTCATCCCAACCAACCACCTAAGGTTCATAATATCAGTGATCTGTAGTTGGACGTTAAGATCAAGTTTCAAATTTTCACAAATTTGTCTAACTATAAAGAACGTAAAAAGCGGATAAACAATAAAATCAAACTTCACGCCTAGACAACATTCTATGCTAACATGTGATACGTTTGGAGTCTTAAAATTTGGTCCACGGAATGGTTAATTATGTGATTCCGCCGTTGTTTTTCTAGTTGGCATGTGGTCCGGCACCCAAAGTTGTGACAAATACTGGCCTTCGATACGCGTACAAGCTACAACCTTACGCGCTAAGCCATTTTTAATGTTTTGATTAAGTGTTTGGAACCTCCAAATGTTTGGTACGTCGAATTTATTGAATTAATTGAAAAGTCGAGTCTTTTTCAATTTTTCACGTCTGGAGTGTGAGATTTGGTATGACTGCAAAAATGTTACATTTGTTATTGGTCATCTTACACACATTCATAGTAAAAGAGTACACAGACATTTTTATCCAGTATATGATAACTACTAGTAGAACAGAAAAATATCTACAAGTGTTATCAACAAGATCATGTGACTTCCTGTTCTCTCTCTGTATTCAACTCAAGATCTCCATGTTCGATACCTTTTTTTATTCAATAGCACACATATTGTCCAATGGATGAAAACCACAAATATTAGGAAGATTTCTATACCACAAAATCTTTAATATGTAACTAGGAGGATTTTAAGTTATGATAAACCTTTGTGGGTGTAATTTCCTCCTTTAATATTTCACATCAACATTGATCCACTGATCCGGTCCAAGTAAAAAAGTATCATTTAAAGCGTAACACTTTTGTTAGTGTTGCTCAATGATCTTTTAAATGTGTGCAGAGATGGTGGCCCTTCGATCAATGTTTGTATGCCCTCCTTTGGAAAGGAGGAATCCTAGCTAATTCTCACCTTACTCTTTCATTTTCTCTTTTGCTCAACTAGGGGCGGATGTAGGGATATTGGATTCGAACTGCAGATTGGTCCAGTGCACAATCCATTTTCATTTTAAATGTGCAAAAAAAAAAAATTATGTGAATTTTTATTTTTGACATATTAGCCCGACTTGATAATTTTTTTTAGTCCGATCCTGAATTCTTCGCTCAACTCTTGGCTTCTCACGGCTGCTCTTGATTTGTGTAATTTCTTTTCATATTTCCTTCATTCTTTGTGAATGCTACTCTTATCTCTTTCGTGATTTCAAGGGCTAGTCTTCTTCGTGTTGGGAAAGCTTTTAAGCTTGGAGTTGACGGTGATTTGTTGAGTGAAATATGGGCAAAATTGAGCTCTAATTATTGTGGATTCACTCTTGATGTCGAATGAACCTTGTCGAGAGATTTTTGGACTATTTGATTGCAAAATCTGTGGTCGAAACTTTAAATATTGTGGGTATAATCATAAATGCATTCAAAAAGCAAGTGCCAACCATTACTTGGCTAACTTGTGCACATGTTGGGTGTTTACTATAATTAATGATCACATGCATGCCGAGTTATTTGAAACTCTATAATTTAATTAATTTGCTCATTTATTCTAAGTAATTAGTGAGGGGGGCACGGGACTCACGTTGGACTGTCGCACGTCCAACTAAAAAATTCATCCCAACCAACCACCTGAGGTTCATAATATCAGTGATCTGTAGTTAGACATTAAGATCAAGTTTCAAATTTTCACAAATATATCCAAATATAAAGAACGTAAAAAGTGGATAAACAATAAAATCAAACTTCGCGCCTAGACAACATTCTATGCTAACATGTGATACGTTTGGAGTCTTAAAATTTGGTCCACGGAATGGTTAATTATGTGGTTCCGCCGTTGTTTTTCTAGTTGGCATGTGGTCCGGCACCAAAAGTTGTGACAACTATTGGCCTTCGATACGCGTACAAGCTACAACCTTACGCGCTAAGCCATTTTTAAATTTATTGAATTAATTGAAAAGTTGAGTCTTTTTCAATTTTTCACGTCTGGAGTGTCAGATTTGGCATGACTGCAAAAATGTTACATATGTTATTGGTCATCTTACACACATTCATAGTAAAAGAGGAGAGACATTTTTATCCAGTATATGATAACTACTAGTAGAACTGAAAAATATCTACAAGTGTTATCAACAAGATCATGTGACTTCCTGTTCTCTCTCTGTATTCAACTCAAGATCTCCACGTTCGATACCTTTTTTTATTCAATAGCACACATATTGTCCAATGGATGAAAACCACAAATATTAGGAAGACTTTTATACCACAAAATCTTTAATATGCAACTAGGAGGATTTTAAGTTATGATGGTTAAGTTGATTGATAGGAGAGATTTTATTTTTATTTTTTCGAAATAGGCCAGATAATTTTAAAATTAATAATCATGCCGGGTATGCCGTAAGATTCATAAATTTACTTTTCACGTGAAACAATCTCTCCCAAACAAATGTAAATTATTTATATTTTAAAAAATAAGTTCGGACATTGATTCGAAAAAAGTCTATTTCACCTCCATAATTTGAAAGTCTGTCCGTTAGCAAAAAGCAAGTGTGAAAATGACGAATCGAAACAAATAAATAAACAAAATACACCCTCAATTTGGTCCCCTACCCATTTTTCTTGACAGCATGCTCCAATTTGTTAATTTTGTAACGCTGTTGATCCTAAATAAAGATAATTTGGGAGACCAATTAAATTAAATAAAAATAAGTGAAATAAACTGTAGCCAAACAAAGGCTAAGTCAGAGAAGTGGGGAACAATTCGTATCCTCTGTCATCCGCGCTGGCTCTAACCTTAACTTCTAGTTCAGTCATTAAATGGTGTGGTCCTTCTCCTACTAGAGTTCCCATTGGTTCAAGTTTTCTATGCCAAATTAATTTTTCCCGATAAATTTCCAACATAATATCTTTTGTATTATAGGGTCAGAAAGTGAAGAATGAAATTTACCATTCATTGTAAAACATTTATTAAAATTTACCATTTACTTGATATCCTTGGCAGAATAAGTACTTCATATTGTTGTACAAAAAAATAATTCTGCATCGCTTTTCCAGACTTTTCAACGTAAATTTTTCATATATTAAACACCCGTATACCTATTGTAAGGGGCAAAAGAAAAAAAAAAGAGGGAGACAGAATTGACCACAAAACAACAATTTCAACCAAGCATAATATACTATACTATTCATGGATACCCAGTTAGTCAAAACTAAATACCAATCAAATTCAAACTTAATCCTCGCTTTGCTACTAGGAACAAAATTCCTTGCAGTGGTGGATACAGGCAAAAGATGATATGAATTGTAGTGAGAACAAAATGATTTACCCATAACTTCTGAGTGGTTCCCGGAAGCTGGGCTTCGCACACTGTTGTCCCAACCTTAACAGATGAATGGCGATTCACTGTCGCCAAGTTTCCTTTCCTTTTACGACTTTTCAGTTTTCACCTTAGTCGAAGGAAATAACCTCTTCAGAAACATCCAATAACTCCTCAACCTCAACTTCTTTTGCTTCGTATTCCTCTTCCTCGTCACTTGCTTCACCATCACGTAGTGTTTGCCTCTCCACTTTCTGTTCTTCATGCAAACGCTTCCATTCACTGACCCACCTATCCCACTCTTCTTTCAACATCTTTCTCTTCTCTCTATCCTGCTCACTCAATTGCAATGAAACATCTTGATCCTCCGCTTCATACTTCTTGCTGTATTTCTTCAAGTTTTTAGCAATTTCTTCTTCTTTCTCAGGGCTCAAGAAGGATGGGGGTCTTGGGCGCCACAAAAACTGAGATGAGAAAAAGGAGTTATTTAGGCAAAAATCAACATCAATGGGAATATACTAGTGTCCTGTAAATAGCAAACAAGTAGAAAAACAGTACTTACTTGGAAGAAATGGTCCTTCAATATTCGATATAGCAGCTTGCCATTGAAAGACCAGACATTGAAACCATTTTCCATCTCATGAACTGAGATAACTGACGTGACAACATACCTACAGAGAAAATTTCAAGTCAGAACAGAATATTTGGGTCCGTGTGAAATATAATTAACCAATACTTACACACACATGCAGTCAAGTCACTCTGCACTGCAGGGAATACAATCTTATTCATGCAATAAACCAAAAGCACAAAAATGAAAAAGCAATCCATAAAGGCTTAGTAGCTACATGTCAATGCCATTACCTTCCCGTGGGATCCCATTCAACGTCTGTTGCCATGAAATGCTCGGCTGTCGCCATGGTTTCAAGCTCATCAACATTGTAGAACTCCAATTGTCCATTGAAACCTTTCAACCCCGCCAATATAATAAAGCGACCAGCTGGTGACCAATAAAGTGCATTCGCCTGCTTGCCCTTAACAGTTGTGAGCTTTGAGACCCGGCCAGTATTAGTACCACTGCGCATCGAGTAGAAACTTACATCAGGCCTTGGGCTATCACCGTGAATAACCGCAAACCTGTGGCCCTTTGGCTCCCAAGCAAATGATATAATCTTATCGTTCTTATTTTCGAGCTCCAAAACTTCAATAGGAATATCTCGCTCTTTGATTCTGAAAAGCTCAAAACCAGTATAAGTGCTTTTCTTTGTTTTAGTGTACCGATCAACTTTAACAGCAAGGTAATCCCCACTGCTTTGCCAGTACAGTTTACAATCGCTCACACTGAAGAGATTCTTCTGCCTCAACTCTTTTTTGCTCGGGATTTGCACAAGACTCACCTGTTGTTAGAATCCAAAGAGTTAGGTCATCAGTATAAGAAATCTACAAAGGACTTAACAGCAAGGAAGTTTTTATGTATGGAAGTTCGTGACTCACTTTGGCAGGTTGATTCCCTCCACCAAGTTCCGGAGCAAAGAGAGCAAGAATTGGATCGGTAGGTGACCAGCTGAAGTCCATAACATTCTCAGCCTTGATAGATTTCTTGTCGATGAGAGTAAAAGTCTCAGTTTCATACACAGAAATGACATTTTTTCCTATTCTGGCGAAGTACTTGTCATCTTTTCCACCACTCCATCTGGCAAATGGAAAGTTGTCATACAGGACATAAGCATGTTTGTAATGTTACTATACTTCATCCTTCATAGATGTGTATATCCCCCTGTTTTGGGGAAAAGGGGGAGAAGAAATGGAAAAGATATAATCAACATATCAAAATTTACTTGAACACAGGCCAGGATACGCCACTAACACCTCCAGTTCCTCCAATTGCAAATTCATCTGCACTGCCTTTGAAATCTCTCATGACTTTTCCAGTTCTAACATCGAAAATGTTTATCACAACCCTCTGTAAAGAAAATTGATGTTAACGACACTATCAATGAAGTAAAGCATTGATAATTAGAAAACAGGAACAATGACTATACATGAGTATCACGTGGGTTACTTGGTTCATGGCTGCTGTAAGTCACCAAAAATTTTTCGCCAGGAGAAAAGTCGATCAATTTCACCTACAATCAAAACCGTCAGATCTAAAAATTTAAGGAAGCCTCTTATTAATGTTAACCACAAGCAGAAAGTAACCTGGGGGTGAGCGTAGCGCATCAGACGGTTAAAAGTGATTGCACCACCCCAAACTGCAGCACCCTGTCTATGCACAGTGGCCAGGTAAGTCCCTAGTGGGGACCACTGCACAAAACTTTCGGTCCAGAACTGACAAAAAGACATAATTACAAGATAAGCAGTGAAAATTGTTCCCAAGAAGAAACAAGTTCAATACTTGTCCCAGGAAACCAATGCGTATGAAGACCAAATAATCATTCTACCCAACAACCACTCCAGGTAAGAATACTTAGTATTAAAGTCTGCTTACTGAACGTTTGTAAACAAGCTCGGGCTTCGACTGTCTTGCATCATTCCATAAAACTTCAGTATCCGAACCAGCACGAATCACAAACTGATCTCGAGCTTTTTCATCAGTAAGCCATTTTTGCAGATTCTCCTGAAAGAGATGGAGAAATAATAAGCAAAAATCAATTAAGGTTAAGAGACTTTTTCATTTCTCTTCACAGTGTCGCTCTCTTGGCAATTAGGCAATTTTATTTCTTTATTCTGTTTTCATTTTCTTTTCCCCTTTCCATTGGGGTGATGATGAGAGATACGAGAGAATAGAGGCCAACCCCAGGAGTATAAGGCTTGGTTTCAGGAGGTGCCCACTCATCTGGAACTTTCATGAACTTCTCAATATCATCAAACATGTTAACAGCAAATATGTGTGATCTGTCTAATTTGTATCCATTTGTCTTTTCCTTGGCCAGTTCAGCTTCCTAAAACAGCAACCATTAACTCATTTAAACAATGATACAGCAACAAAATGTAACTCCAATACCAGAATGAGAATATGCAGTATCTACAATTAATAGACAAATGGTGTTAAAAATCAAAGCATGCAGACATAGTTTATTACCAAGCAAGGAAAATGAAACTGAGACATATTATTAAAACCTTTTGGCATCTCTTCAGTTCTTGAGCAGAGCTCAGTAAACTGCATGCTCTAATTGATAGGATTAAAGCCAACATTAGTAGCACGCTAAAATGACGGTTAACTATATCTTATCACCCTTGCCGATTGTACTAAAAAATATTTGAATTAGCATCCAATATCTATTCAATATTAATAAATTACTTAATTTGTTCAGTTAGGCCCCAATTTTCTAGGAAAGTTGGAATTCGTTTTCCGTTTTCCACCTTTTAGGCTGTTTGGTTGGCTAAATTTTCCATAGAATTCATTTTCCAACCTTACCTCATTTTCCACCCAATTCTTGGTTTTCAAGGAAAACCAATTCTCACCAAATAGGTTTTCCAGGCTTTTTTTTCTTTTGGTAACGAAAACAAATTCTATGGACAATTGTAAATTTTTTTCCCTCTAATAGACAATTTCCATGAAAAACAAAGTCAAAAGAACACCAAAATATCCAAAATTTCAACATTTTCCAATGGAAAATTATACCAATCAAACACAATTAATTACAGTTCTCAGTCAAACAAATTCTAAACAATTCAATTCCCTGTAATTCATTTTCTTTCCACCCAAATTCCATCTTTGCAATCAAACGGACACTTAATGTGTTTCTGGAGAATTCTACAGTCTCAAAAATGTCATTATAAGCACTTCCTCCTTAAAAAAATGAAAAAAAATCAAACTTTTACTCATAAATCACTGCCTATATAAAAAAAAGGGCGTGAGATGCTGAAATGAAAAATCTTTTTGAACTGTCAGAGGCATTTCCCTTTGCTGAATTTTTTACTCCACAGTGCAACCAAAACAAGATGTAACTACAGGCAAAAATAAAAATAAAATTAATCCACATAATTAAGAACCTAAATACACTAAAGTGGAAATGACATTATCTAAAAATAAAAATTAACAGGTAAACTCTTAATAAAAATAAAACTTTTAATAGAAATGAATATAATACACATTCAGGTAAAGAAGTATACCCGCATAAAAAAGGGAAACGAGATTAACAAAGTGGAAAATCACACATACTTGAGGGGTGTTATACTCGATGAAACAATATCCAAGGGTTTTCTGAGTCTCAGGATCCATTGGCATCCATAGGCCATCCTCCTTAATAACCCCTATTTGGCTGTAGATTTTCCGGATTACACCTTCCAATTTCTCAAACTTCTCCTTTGGCACAACTGGCAAATTGTCCACGACAATTATGTTCCCGAACCCCGCCTCGAACTCCAACTGTTCCTCCCCTTTTAAATCCTCATCATCACTACAAACAATCATTTCAGCCAAACAATTTATCGCTGCAATATAATTGTTACCACTAGTGTTCTGTAGAGTGCCGGGTGTTTCAGTAATCTTACCTGATAACCCCAAAGTCTTCGCCAGGGGGGAGACGAATGGAATCAAGATCTATGGAGGAGATGTCGATGTTGAGGCGACCAGCGGTGGCGCGTATATCATCCATTGATACAACCTCCGCCATGACTGATTGCTAGCCCTGCTTGTGTATGAATATATGTATCGATGTTTGTATATGTGCGTTTATCTGAGAGAGCCAGCGCGACGATGGCGTAGGAAAGTGCGGTTCAGAGAGGAGTCGTCTAGGGTTTTTGCTTGGAGAGAGAGAGAGAGAGAGAAGAAGAAGATGAGGGCTGACATGTTGTATTGTTTCAGATCTGTTAAAAGGTTTGGGCCAGTTAATGATAAAAAGGCTGAAAGAGAATTTTGGAGGATCTGCTTGCCATAGTCCACGGGCTAAAGGCCCAATGAGACCCAATGGCACTAACATGAGGCAATAGGAGCACCTCCAATAATGCCGTGCACCAACAAGAGGCGTGAAGCAGGCGTAAAACGCCCCACATTGCGCTTTTATTTATTTTTCTTTTTTCGCTTGTGTTTAATTTTTTCAGACGCTCGCTTTTTTTTCAATATAGTATTATATAATGTGAAAATTACAAATTAACAGGTATTTGAGTTTTTCAAATTAAAAATCGGGTGTAAATTTTATTTAACCAAAAATCAAGTATTAATTAAATTATTAATAATATTATAAAATTTACCACTCTCATCCCACACACCCACCCCACCCCCGACTACAAAACGTAAAATATTTTTGATCTCGTCTCTCTAGTGCACTCTTCTCTCACAAACCGCCTTCGAGGCGGCGCTCATATAATTATTGTTGCGCTGAATCTTCTGTTAGGGCAACCTACTAGGTGGCGTTCATAGAGTTAGCGTGTGCAGTGGCGATGATGGAGAAAATCGCCGCTGCGAGATTCATCAATATACGACGTTGTTGGTTTGTTGGTATGTCACTCCTGAACTGAAGTCTTAGATGGGGTCGCTACGCAGCAACATAGATTCATCAACGGATGGCGTCGCTAGTTTGGTTGGTATGTCGCAATCTTGTTTGTAGGTATGCTGAGATCTGTTGTTCATCCTCTCATCGCTGCACAAAGCGATCTGGTGCTCGCAGCGCTGCGAGTGATCTGTGACCACGATGTTGTGTGTGAGGTTTACGGTGGTGCCGTGGTGATGGTTTTTGTTGAGCTTGTTAGTTTTTTGGAGTAGTGGTGGTTTTCATGTTTTGGTGTTGGGGCGGTTTTTGTTGACAGTGGCAATGGCAATGTTGTCGGTAGTGGTGTTGTTGTTGATGTTGTTGGTGGTGGCAGGGGCGATGATAACAGTGGGATGAAGAATGTTTGTGACTAACTATTTAGGTATTTGTGATCAAGTATTGGTGGTGGATCAGGGTGGGTGGGGTGTTAGGGTGCATGTGACCAATTATTTAATTGTAACCTAACAATTTGATAATTTGTGATCGAAAAATAATTTGTAACCAATTAATTTGAAAATCTGTAATCGACGAATAAACTGTGACCTATAATTTTTTTAATTTGTGACCGATGAAAATAAATTATGACTTATGAAATTTTTGATTTGTGACTGTGAAATAAAATATGACCAATTAATTGATAATACGTGACTAATAAATAAGTTGTAACTTACAAGTACGTGCATGTGACAATTAATTTTATAATTGTGATTTTGATATATTTAATTATTTATTTATCACATAATTTTTGAATTTTGAAACTTAAAACCCAATAATTGAATTTGCCTATAGTTAATACCCGAGTTATGAATTTTTCCCTTTTATAATTGTATATGTTCAATGTGTAATATTTTAATTATTAAATTATTTTTAGATTAATAAAAAATTTAAAATAAGAAAATATTTTTTTTACCCTGGTTTATGCCTAGATTCGCCTAGCTCGAAATTTAGCCTCCATGCCTCATCACACTTTACTCTTTTTAAAACACTATCAAAAAGTATTATGACACCCCCAAAATACTTATATATCGTTGAAAAATGTAGATCTTCTCTCTTTTATATGTGATCCAAAATCAATGCAGTCAACCTTCCCGTTGGAGGTACTATTATATTCAGGGGCGGACGCAGACTTTTTATGTTGGGGAGGCACAATCAAACTTTCAAAAAGTGACGAAAAAATTAAGGTAAGAGATATTTAATTACAATTGTTCTATACGTGTTCTCATATTTTGATAATGTTCCATAATTAAAGTGAGAAATAGAGAAAAATTTAATGTA